ACGTTAGGTCTATAGCTATATCTCAATAATTAATTTTTTTACATTTTATTAAAAATATTAATTATTTTTAAATTTTAAATAAAATGTAAAAAAAAAATCTAAAATAGCTATTTTGTAGAGTAGAATTTAAGAATAATTTTAGTAAAAAAATATCTTATTAATATTCAGTAGTAAATATTCTGTAGCGTTTTAAAGTTTATGAAAATTTGGTTTTTATGTATTATTTTGCGGTATTAAACATCGATATACGTATTGAGAAAAGGACAGAAGAAAACACTATCTTTTCATAATTACTATAATTTGGAAATGTGTAATTTGCTTTGGATGTGTAGAATTTCACTTCAGAAGTCATATTAAGTATAAAACTACTAGAAAGTATGATAATCTTGGCTTTTCATATAATGAAGAAACAAAAATAACTTCTTGTGTTCAAGATTTGAAAGTTTAAAACAATTTCAATGATTATACGAAAAAATAAATTTTATTTTATATAATAATAAAATTTAGGTATCCGTAAATATTTTATATATTTTTATGTACTTTACATAAAATATTTTAAATAAATTAAAATAATTATTCACAAATTTCTAAGAATTAAAGACTATCTACAGATTTGCATCGAAGCGTTTCTTTTGTTAGTAAATCACTGTCAGATTAAATCTATACTGAAACCAACTATGCCATGTCCCCACTATGCCGCGACCCCACTGTGCTGGGGTTTTTTTTAATACGGATTTTGGTTCGATAAATAAAAAAGGAAAATTTTTCATTCAAACAATGATGAAAATGACGAATTAGTTTTTAATTTAAAATTTTAAAATTATGTATGTTGTTAATGAAACAGTTAATTTTTATATGAATTAATATCAAATATATTAAAAATCGTTTGCTAGAGAAACAGTGACTTTAACAATTTAAAAGTTAAAAAAAAAATTTTTTTTCCATTTTCAATTTTCCATTCCAGAACATAAGAGGCAACAAGACGCCATCCAGATAATTAAGTCTAATGTATTATTTGTTTTATGTTAGTATAAAAAGGCATAATTTTTTTTATATAATTCATTTAAACTTTTATAAGATTACTTTATAGCTAAAATTGGGCATCTCATACGATAACTTTTACATCGTATATACACTTTATTATAAGTATTAAATATTTAATTTTTACTAGAGTAATAATCAATGACATAAAGAAATTATTATTGTGCTATACTACAACATTACCTACTATACGTTTACTAAGTTTGTCTAGATGATACATTTTAAAAGGCTAACTAAACCCAATGATATATAATATAATATAAACATATGGAATTATTTTATTTAATTTTCACACATATCGTTTGTTAGAGAAACAGTGTCTTTAACAATTTATCGGCTATATATAAAAAACTTTTTTTTTCTATTTTCATAAACATAAGAAGTTTCATGTTTTACTTCATCATAAAAAAAGCCCAGATTAGAATAAAATTTTTTTTCCTTATCTTCTATACCATTTCTTAAGGTAACTTCTATAAATTCATACATTTCAAACGTTTTAGGTTTATTATTTTTCTTTATATACCTATTAAGATCATCCACATCACAATTAACAGTATATCTTTGATCAATGAAATAATTTCGAAGCATTTTGATAAAATTACAATATCTCTCTTCGTATTCGTCATAGAATTTATAATAAATTCGGTTCACATATGCATTGTCATTTTCATTTATTTCTCTGCTTATCAATCCAACAAATTTTATTAATTCATCTAAAGCATATGGATAGGTTTTAATATTTAACAAGTTCATTAGAAAATGTATTGCACTAATAAAACGTGAAATTATTTTTATAGAATTCTCAATGTTTGGTAATAATAAACTCATACAATACGGGTAATCTTTTGAAGCCTTAATAAAATTTTTCACAAAACAAGCACTTAAAATATGTTGTAAATGATACACGATCCAAGCCAAACTTCTTATGTACTCATGATTAATAAGTNCCAAACTTCTTATGTACTCACGATTAATAAGTACCATTGTTTCTCTTAACTTTTGATTAACATTATTTTTATCGACGATCGAACCTTTACAACAATAATGTTTATTTATTAGTAGTTTATGCGTGTGAATCCAAGACCTGCTTAGATGGTCATACACTTTTGTCTCTGATAAAAGTTCCCACCTGTTTTTTTGTAAAAAAGAATTTAAAAAATTAATTGCATACCCTTTATCATACTTTTTCTGTTGACTCGATACGTTCACTGCCAAGATAAATACAAAGATGTTATAATTCATTCTGATTAATTGATTTTATACGTAATGTATGAGAAATACACTTATTATAATAAAATACCTATGTCAAGTAATAAAGTTTAAATTAAAAAATTAGTTATNTATAAAGTTTAAATTAAAAAATTCGTTATTTTTTTCTCATTGTAAAATGAGTCTCTACTCTCTAAACAAGTGTCGACCACATTTTTGCGACGCAAGTTTTACAAAGCAATTTTACAAATTTCAAATTGACTATAAATATATTATGACAAATAGAATACCCCTTACATAATACTTTTAGCTTCGATGCGAAGCTGAGAAGGTATTGGTTTTACTATGATGTGTTTTTTTTTTTTTTTGTGTCTGTTACCAGTTTTTCTCAGCTCTCACCGAACGGATTTCTTTCAACGATACGTCAAAAGATCACAAATCGTATCTAGTCGAAGACATTACCCTTAAAAATTGAAAAAAATTCCCTCGTTCCCNAAGACATTACCCTTCAAAATTGAAAAAATTTCCCTCGTTCCCCGTAAATGGGGGAAACCTCCAAAAAAATTACAAATTTAAAAATCGCTAATTTTCGAAATTTTTTCAATTTTTTTTACTAAAATATGCCGTAACTTTTTCAAAAATGAACTTATCAAAATAACTTTTTTTTATATAGATGCTTGATGTCCTTACCTATCATTTGATATATTTTTTTTGTAAATTTGACCCTTTATCTGCCCACAGGGGGGGATTTAAAATGACAACTTTTTCACAAAAAATTAACTTTTTCAACTTAACTTTTGAAAATGTTCCGGAAGGTCTGACACTTTTATATATATCTTAAATTAAAGCTAATGTAATATACTTTAATGTGAAAAAAAAAAATTTGACCTCTGGACTTGTCTTCATGGTGAAAACGGCTACCGAATGCTATTTTTGTGTGAAAATTTTCGATTTTATTATTTATATTACATTTAACTTTATAATGCTATAACTTATTGAAAAGTTTATGGATCCACACAATTTTTTTATGAGAAATAATATTTTTTAATAAACCCTTTTTCATTCGACATACTTTATCTTAATCGAGATATTAATAAGGAACCAGCAGATCAAGTAGCTTTTGGAATAAAACACCAATTTTTTTAAAATTAAACACTATCTAAAGATTTGCATCGAAGCGTTTATTTTTGATAGTGATTTTAATCACTATCAGATATCATTATACTTGACCCAACTATGCCACGTCACCACTGTGCCGCGACCCCCCTGTGCTGGGTTGGGTTTTTTTTATATTATATGTATTGAGGGTGTTTACACACTATAGTTTACCAAGTTTACTCGCACTGTAGTGAGTGTAAACTTAAATTAAATTATATATGAACATTTCGACATTCAGATGTTTCAATCCAAAATAAAATCTGCTATATATTCTCATTATTGCATATAATTATACACCTAGTAGCATATTTTTTTAATTCTGTTTGACTTTATTTGATTTATAAAATTTTAAATTTTAAATTTTAAAATTATTTCACATCATTTTAAGTATATATTTAACATAAAAATCATTAATATATTGTGACGTTCACCGGCATCTTGTCCTAAAGCTTTCACCGATGAAGACGTATAAATCAAACAATTTTTGATCCTCCACAAACCGAGGTTTTACCAGACCGGAGCATAGTGGAATTTCAAATAAAATTGACACATAAAATGTTATAAGATTGTACTATTGTTCAAATTATTAAATTTTTTTACCTTTACTCTACGAGAAAAGGAATTAAAAAACTGGTATACTAGTAGTATGGGCGATGATGTTCTATTTTATACGATTGAAAATAACTAATAACAATTTTAATTAAAATTAAAAATGACTACGCCTGATGTACAATAAAATATTGTCATTCATAAATTATAAATGTTCATAAAAAAATAAAGATTACAAATACTTTAATATAACATATTTCAAGTCACGGTTAAAATTTATTATAAATTATTAAATAATATAAAGGACAAATAAACGAAAACAGGTATGATTGAAAAAAATAACCTCCGACACTGTTGCATTTACTATGTACAATTGTACCAAGGTCTTTGAGGATATTTAGTAATATTTAATATAATAAAATGATTATTATTACAATAATGCACAAACTAGCAATTTGACATCGGTCAATATGGATGTAGGCCATTTATACCGAGTCTTGAGACTGCTAAGCACGTCTACATTGGTCAAACACACGTGAGGTTTTATTTACACTCGCATGGCAAAATAATTAACGTATCAAAGAAAATGATATTTTAGAATAAACAATTTACAAATAGTCAATGAGAAAAATGTGTCAGAAAGTTAGGATAGATTAGAATAATCGTATTAAAATAATTAAACTATATTAATGTAATTAAAGTTCANCATATTAAATTAATTAAACTATATTAATGTAATTAAAGTTCAAAGAATCTTTGTGACAATGCACGATTATAGAAAAAACGAATGGGCGTAATAAAGAAGGAAGGGAATGCTGTACAATGTTACCACAANATAAAAAAAAAAGCGTTAAGTAGGTTAATGTTTTGTATATTGGGATGGTGAAATGAAAGAAATAATTTTTTTTGACATGAAAAATAATAAGAGGATAATTAAATTGAATATGAGTATAAATATTATGTTAACCGGAGTTTTGAAATTTGTTTAGCTGCAAAATGATAATAAAAGAATATGGCATATAATCATAAATTCTCTGTTTTGATATAATGACCACTCCTATTTTGTCGTAAAATATAGATCGCAAGTAAATCACTTCTGTATGACGCACAATGAAACGTGCAANGATGTGTGTTTGTGGGGGCGCCTCACTTGCGCCTCCTCCGGCGCCTCACTTATAATCTCCCCGGCGCCTCACTTATAATCTCCTCCGGCGCCTCACTTATCAAAATTATTAGCGCCTCCCTTATCAAAATAAAAATTCAATTTGATAACAAATAATAGCGCCTCACTTATCAAAATTATTAGCGCCTCCCTTATCAAAATAAAAAATCAATTTGATAACAAATAATAGCGCCTCTCTTATAATCTCATCCGGCGCCTCACTTTTCAAAATTATTAGCGCCTCCCTTATCAAAATAAAAATTCAATTTGATAACAAATAATAGCGCCTCACAACCACCCACTTCAAAGATGATTGTATTCTTCCCCCACTTCTGTTATTTAATATTGGTATAAAACACAATCGCTCGTGAAAATCAATCGTATTGTATCTTCTTTTTCTTACTCGTGTGTGTAATCAGTGAAGTATAACATCGTGATATTCAAGATGAGCATGATGAAAATGACAACTGGAGGAACTATATGTTTACTACGTTTGTCTAGATGATGTAATAGAAGAAAATGATTTAGTGGAAACTAAATGACCGTATTCTGCTTGTGACTCGAGTAGTGCTGTAGAAACAGTAGAAAATAAACTAGTAAGTATTAAATTAACTAAATAATATTAATTTTCCAAAACTATATAAATTTAATTTTCAGACACAATATTGCAAGATTGAAAGTTCTAAATTTGNGACACAATATTGCAAGATTGAAAGTTCTAAATTTGCTTGTAAACTAAACTCGTATAAGATAGCTAAACTTTAAAAAACCCCGAGGAGAATACACTACGTGCGAGGCACGCCAAAAGTAAAACCAGAGCACTATGGTATTGTACCTTATCCTAAGGGGAAAAGGTTATAAATAAAAGGTTTAATTTAAGATAACAATGATTAAAATTTATTAATTATTATGAGTTAATTTTATAATTATCATAATAAAATAAAAGTTATTGTAATATTAAAACATACTAATAAATAAAATATAAAGACTCAAAATAATATAAGGAAAAAATCTATATATATATATATTAAATGTCAACATTAATGTTAAAAACATAACGTTAAAGAAAAAAAAGAATATTAACAATTAACTTAGGACCAAGGATTCCAAAGGAATTATGACTAGGATGTCTAAAATAATATATGTAACACTGGTAAATTCAAACGGATCAAGTTAATAATATTTCTGCCCAATAAATTATGTTTTTACATAAATTCAGCATTTAACACATAAAAGTCTAAAACAGAGAATCTTGATTTATAGTTATTATATACAATTAAATGTCTTCAGATATCCAGGTATGAGGTATTTTCTAATTAGTATAACGATACATGATTAATGTAATTTGTACATATTGATCAAATAAGCAATATTCAAGTGTTCATCATCAGAATAAATTTGCAGATATACCAAATATTAACTTGATAAATAAAGTTTAAACAAAATTTTACAAAATGTTACCTTATACCTTATACTAATCATAATTTTATTATGTTACAAGCTAAAAGAAGACCATGTGTACTTTTACCAATAATGGTACAATTTCAATCTACACGTATAGACAAAAGTTTTTTTTATAATTTTTAAATTAAAAATTTAACAGTTAAAAATTAAAGAACTTTTTTTTTTTATTTTCAATGTGCCATTCATGAACATAAGAAGTTTCATTATTTACTTCGTCATAAAAGAAGCCCAGATTAGTATACAATGTTTTATTCATGTTTTGAATACCTTCTCTTAAGTTAACTCCTATAAATTCATAAATTGCAATCGTTTTAGGTAAATTATTTTTCTCTATATACCTCTGAAAGTGGTCCACATTACAATTTATTTTAGTGCATGTTCGATCAATGTGATAATTTTGAAGTATTTTGATCAAATTAGAATCATTCTCATTGTACTCGGCATTGAAATCATTATAAATTTGCTTCACATATGAATTGTCACTTATTTCTCTGCTTATAAACCCAAAAAATTTTATCAATTCGTTTAAAATAAATGTATTGGTTTTAATATTTAACAAGTTCATTAGAAAATTTATTGCACTAATAAAACGTGAAATGAGTTTTTTGGAAATCTCAATACTTGATACTAATAAACTCTTACAATTGGCGTAATCTTCTGATTTAGAACATATTTTATATATAAAACAATCTTCAGCAATACTTTTTACGTGATACACGATCCATGCTAAACTTTTTGTGTACTCGTAATTAACAAGCAACATTGTTTCTCTAAATTTTTGATTAACATTTTTTGTATTGACGATGTAACCTTTAGAACATTTTTTTTTATTTAATAGTGGATCATATATTAAAATTTTACTCTTGCTTACATGGTCATACATAAATTTCTCTGATGAAATTTTCCATTTATTTTCTTGTAAAAATGAATTTAAAAAATTAATTGCATACCCTTTATCATACTTTTTGTGTTCACTTGATACGTTCACTGCCAAGATAAATATAAAGATGTTATAATTCATTCTGATTAAGTTATTTAGTAATACGTAATCAATAAAAAAACAAAGGTTTTTATTTTAAAATTCGTACGTCGTGTAATTAAATTGATTAAATAATATGTTACTTTTTCCTTATCGCAAAATTAACTATTTGGTTATGTTATGGTGTACTATATAATATAAAATAAACTACGTCACGAATTGTTAATACGTGTTCAATTGTTATTAATGTTTGTTCAATTCTTTTAAAATAAATTTTTCACTGATAAAACAATTATTTTTTTTTATTTATATTACATATATACAATTGTATAATTGTAATTTATAAATTATAATTTATAAATGTGAGTTTTAAAATTGAAAAAAATTAATAATTTTGGTTAATTTAAAATTTTTAAAAATGGAACCACAGTGGGTCATTACATAGTATGGACATGACGTATTTAGGTTAAGTATAGATGATATCTGACAATGATTAAAATCACTACTATAAGAAAGGCTGAGATGCAAATGTATAGACAGTGATTAATTGTTAACCTACTCAAAAATTAGACTAGACTGGCTAACTTCGTACAAACGTTATTGATTCTCTTTATTTATTTAGACAATATTTAATTCTAGAGATTTTCTTTTGGTACAATATAAGCATTTATACATTCAATAGTAAAATCCACATCACCACCATTTTTTTTCTTATCCTCC